AAAAGTGAAATTAATCCTAATAGAGTTTTTTTTTTAAAAAAAAAAAACAAAATTATCATTGCAACCTGTAACCAATATAAATAATTGCTAAAAGGAAAAAAGGAAATGTTTCACTTTTTTTTTTTTTTTTTAGGATACTATGTCTTCAAAATCCAGTGCAAATTTTACACTTAGGGCACAACTCAATTCCAACTGGCCACATTTCATTTGCTCAGTAGCCGTATGTGTCCCGTGGCTACTACACTGGGCATTGTACCTTCAGATCTGCCTACCTCGCAGCCTCCAAACTGACCTGTCTGATACCCAGGGAAACTAAAATACTATGGCAAGTGGTATTATTTTCACGATGGAGATACATTCACCTAGAAATAGATGTGCATCCATTTAGAAATCAAGTCAACATGATTATGTGGCCAATTGTTACAGAGACATATATTCCAGCTTCCTATTACATGTAATAGATCTTAAACCTTAGTGGCTTAATTAAAAGAAATCACTAATACATGTCAAGAGTGTTTCAAGAACACAGAAGAGTTGTACGTTTCTTTTGGCTTTTATGTTTATTTTTGCTTTGTGTCATTTACCTTAATTATATAGCCACTTGTGTGCTTAGCTACCAAAAAGTGACTTGCACAGTATTAGTCCTTGGAAGTATTTATGTATAAGAGAGAATCATACCTTTGGGTTTTTCCAGACAGCAGGGTTGTGGTGAAGACCCCAAATACTAAGAACCACAGTGATCCCTAAGAAAGGAGGGAAGTAAAAGAGATTGCAGGAGAAAGAGCAAGTTGTGGGCTACTGTTACACTGCTCTTAAACAAGACTTCCCTTCTTGAAGAAAAGAGCTAGTGCCTGACAATCCTCTGCCTGCTGTAGCTGATGACATCAGTGAGGAACTCATACGAAGACACAGCTTGGGCTGGCACCTTAGCTTTCCACACAACAATTTACTTAATTCATGATTCTGTCTTAAGTAGCTGTTGGTGTCATATTAAAGTGATAAACCATGTTTATGTTTTCTGCTATGTTTGGAAATTACTTAAATATTTGTTTTTTGTTTTTGTTTAGAGTCAGGGTCTGGCTCTGTCACTCAGGCTGGAGAGCAGTGGTGCGAGCATAGCTCACAGTAACCTTGAACTTCTGAACTCAAGTGATCCTCCTGCCTCAGTCCCCCAAATAGGCAGGAATACATGCTTGCAACACCATGCCTGGCTATATACTTTTTTTTTTTTTTTGTAAAGACAGGGTCTCACTATGTTTCCCAGGCTAGTTAGTCTTAGACTCCTAACTTCAAGCAATCCCCCCACCTTGGCCTCACAAAATATTGGAATAGGTGTCAGTCACTGTGCCTGGCCTAAATACCTGTTAATGGACTGTTAAGCACCTCCTGGAGACAGTTTGGGTATAAACAGAATGGGCCAGGCACAGTGGCTCACACCTGTAATCCAGCACTTTGGGAGGCCAAGGTGGGCTGGTCTCGAGGTCAGGAGCTTGAGTCCAGCCTGGCCAACATGGTGAAACACCATCTATACTAAAAATACAAAAATTAGCAGAGCATGGTGGCATATGCCTGTTATTTCAGCTAGTCAAGAGGCTGAGGCAGGAGAATTGCTTGAACCTGGGAGGTGGACGTTGCAGTGAGCCGAGATCAGGCATTGCACCCCAGCCTGGGCGACAAAGCAAGACTCTGTCTCAAAAAAAAAAAAAAAGCACACAACTGTTATTCCATTGTGCAGATATGAAGATCCAGTGACACATTTCCATTGGTGCTGTTCATATATGGAAAGTATAGAATTCTGGCAAATATCCATGTTGTTTGGTGATAAACATTGTAGAAAACAAAGGAAGAGAATTTGAGGATTATTTGGTTTTCAGAAATAATTCTAGTAAATTAGTTCTGGGTCTGTCAGCAAAGTTACAGTAACAGGCTGTAGATGTTTGCTACAAGCAATACTGTTGGCTTGTTTCCTAAGACATGAATTAATAGAACATTGAATCAGATAAGTGAAAATATGTCTCACATGACCCCTCTGCTTCCTATAAGTCCTGCTCAGAAACCTGTGTTGTTCTGAAGAGCTCTAGGCCCTAGACTCAGGGCCTCTGCATGAGTTCTAGCTCTGCTCACATCAGTTAACCTCATCTACACATTGGGGTTCCCTCTGGATTTCTGGTCACATCTAAAGTATTTAAAAGTGTTTAGAAAACTGTAAATAACTGTATAAGTGTATGTTGACATCACATTCCAAAGGGAAAAATGAGATAATGGTTTTGAAGACTCTACATAAGCTATTAAATGTTGCACATTTATAAGGGTGATATTAAGATGATGAGGCCAAAGATCCCCGTTGGTCTTTCAGACGAAGATAGTGGTGCTCATTTTCCATGAAGTTCCAGCTGAGTCTCAAAGTGAGCCAAACAAAGATTATCTTAGAAATGTCTTCCCACAATGGAAGAGATCCTGGGCTGGGGTTCCAGAGACATGGATTCTGGGCTTACCTTTGGTGCAAGTGGTTATTCACTGAAATTCACATCTGATCAAAGCATTATCCTCTGAGCTCCTCATAGGTGATTAAACCTAAACCACATGTTAGCATTATCTTTTAACTTCACCAAGTGCTAAGAGACTCACTAGTCATTGTCACTGTGGTCCCCAAGATCCCATAGCCTCTAGGAAATGTTTAGAAAAAGAATGTAAAGACCTGCAGGTAATGTGCATCCATCTGGGAAGGTAAGTGGCTTGCTGAGATCTCTGGAAATGGATGGGACTGCAGGAATCAATCGGAATGTCTCCTTGATGCACATTGTGGTGTACGACATTTCACCCAGCTGGTCCCTGTGAGGATGAGTGAGGAAAGGGATTCAGATATCATAACCAGTTTATTTTTTTCTGTTTTATGTTTATTCCTGGTAATTATCACCCTGAGGTTAAATCCATTTTGCAACTGGCGTATGTAACAGAATGTTAAAATGGGACTCTCTGCCTCAGGATGAGCTGAGGTCCCAGAGTCAGAGGAACCAAAAAGATATATTGTATACCCTTATTATAAACTGAGCTGCTAAACTACCAGTAAAACATTTGCTATGGAGAGTTCTGAAACCCAGTTTTGCAGTTTTGCAACTCTTCGCTCATCATATGAAGTAAGAATGCATAAAAATGGCTAAGGATTGAAGAGAAGAAGCTTAAGAATTTTGAGAGAAAAATTATTTAAAGTATTGTGGGAATGCCAGAGTACCATGGAGAAGGAAGGGTGCTTCTCCCAGCTTAAACAACAAGAGGTTTCATGAGGATCACTTAGATGATCTGACTTGTGCTCCTTGGAGTTTGGGGAATACAGTACTGATGTGAAAGGCTGTAACTCAGAAGAGACAGAGAGGCAGAGGAGAGCAGCAGAGGCAAGGCAAGGATGTGCAACTATGTCCTTGAACCAAGGAACTGGCAAGAGGGAGAGCTCTGGAACCAGCTTGAAAAAGACTGCCTAAGGACAAAAATTCTCTTGTCCCTTGAATTGCCACTGGAAAGTCCCAGTGAGAGAGTCTCCAAGAAACGGAGTGTCCCCTTGAGAGAAAGGGAAGCATGGTATATCCACCAAGCCCTTTGGCATGATCACAATACAGCCAGCCCTTTACTTTTTATCCCGTTTCCTCCTAAAACCATTCCTGGAAAAGTCAGAAACAGCAGCTAACTGGGTATTGGAGATCAGTAAGAATAAGTTAAGCATAAACCCCTTGCCCACTTCTGGCTTCTAGACCCAAAGAAGTACCAAGCTGGAATGGAAAGAAAAGCTCCTAGTGGATATGTATTTGAAAGTTTCATTACTACACTGGGCCAGATAGTTTAATGACTGACATAAGACTGTTCTTATGATTTAAATGAATGAGAACTCTATCAGACTCACTCAGGATTTTGCCCCAGAGATAAAAAGAACTTGCTCCACAAAGCAAGTTTAAAGTTTATAAGTGGAAGAAGAATAGAGTCTTTTTTTTTATTTGCATCCTAGCTAGTCAGATTGGTTCAATAAAATGACTGTCTATATTTAGTCTGTTTGTCTTCGTGTTTTTAATATGTTTTTCTGATTACTTATTTTGAATGCAGGCTTTGGCCATTAGGTAATGTGAAATTTTAATTTTCATTTCTTTCTTCCTCAAGCTCAGGATAAAAAAAGAGTAATTCTGCTTATGCTGGCACTTTGCATAATTAAAAAAAATTTTGTTCGTTTCAATCATGGAACAAAAAGAAGAGAGAAATTTTAAGCTAACACAGAAATGAGCTGATAAGGAGCCAAAAGGGGAAGTTGAACAACTTTCTGGCTTTCTCAGAAATTTCTCTTTGTAGTGTAGTTTTATTACCTGTCTAAAAGAATTATAAATTATCAGAATGCCACATGTAAATTTCATTAAACAGGGCTATAAATACATATTATCAAGTAAAAATATTTTTTCTCTATATTAGTGCCATTCTCTCATTAAAATGAAATATAGCTAATAAATCTTCTGGACTTAGTTTTCTCCCCTAGAAAAGACTTTTTAAAATTGTTTTCACATTTAAGCCAAATGAGAATGAGAAAAGTCAATATTTGAGTTGTATAAATATCTACTCTAATCAACATTAAAATATCTAATTCATGTTGGAATGTGATATACAATGTTTACAAATTTAATGAATGACTAAAAGTGATTACTTAGCAAGATGAGAGAAGAGGAGGTCCCCCACTTGGATCCCCCTACAGGTATAATAATTTCATAGCTATTTATAAAGTGCCTTTGTGGGAGCCTTGGGATTTAGGTAGGAGTACCTGAAACCCCCGTGGAGTCTATGAGGGATTTTGAGAGGGAAGAACTGTACTCAGGTGGGAGACTTGCCAACTCTGATCTTGCTCCAGACCCTGAAATGGCACTGCCCCCTCCAGGCTCAGTTATAGCCTGTTTGGACTTGGTCCTACTACTGAAACCATTGAGCAAGGGGCCCAGCAGGATTCAAGCACATCAGTGCCTCAGGAGACAGGTCTGCCCACTTTGATCTCAGCTTTGGATTCAGAAATGCCCCTCTAATTCAGTTTCAGCCCCTCAGCTGTGGTCTGTGATCTGTCCTGCTCACACAAGAACCCAGAGGGAGAGACACATTTCCCCAAACAACCTGGTCAGACTTGCCAACCCTGATCCCCCAGTAGGCCCTGAAATAGCACTTCATCTTAGCCCAAGCTCCTCTCAACTATGGTCTAAGAGCAGTTTTACCTGGCCAGAAACCTGCTGGGTGACATGCCTGTCTGTGTTCTTGAGGTAGACTTGAAAACCTTGGCCCCAAATCAGATTCTGAAATGTCCCTGAGAAGCAGTGTTAGCCCCTCTCAGCTGTGACTTGAGAGCAGTCCTGCCCACAAAGGAACTGGTGGGGAGACACACCTGTCAGTGTCCCAGCAGGCTGATCCACTGACATCACTGGAAGGTGCATGTGTGGGGGGTTGAATTTTGACAAATACAATGACAGAACTGAATAACTCAGTAAAGACCTTAAACAGCAGACTCAGTCATGAAGAAGAAAGAATCAGTGAACTCAAAGACAAGTCGTTTGAAATTATCAGTCAAAGAAACAACAACAAAATAAAGAAAACCTAAGGGACTTATGGCATACCATCAAACATACAAATATACAAATTATAGGGATTACAGAAGAAGAAAGAAAGTTTAAGAAATATTATTTTAAAAACACCAGCTGAAAATGTTCCAAATACTGGGAGAGATATGAACATTCTGGTTTACGAAGATCAAAGGACTCTAAGACCAAACCAAATGAAAATAAATGGAGGCACATTATATCAGATTGTCAAAAGTAAATGAAAGACAAAGAATCTAGAAAGCAGTAAGAGAAGGGACTCACCACATACAAGAGATGACAATAAGGTTATGAGAAGAATTATCAGAATAAATCTTGCAAGCTAGGAGGGAGTAGAATGAGGCATTCAGAAAGCTGAAGAAAAAGAAAAAAACCTGCTAACCAAGAATACCATATCTGGCAAAGTTATGTTTCAAAACGAAGGAGAGATAAAAACATCTCCAGATAAACAAAAGTTGAGGGTGTTCATTACTACTAGACTCACCTTATAAAAAATGCTGATGTGAATTCTCCAACTTGAAATAAAAGAATACTAATTAACAACATGAAAATTGAAAATAAAAATCTCACTGGTAAAGGTAAATACATAGTGAATTTAGAATACCCTAATAATGTAGAGGTGGTATGTTAATTACTTCTACCTCTAGTATAGAGAATCAATATTGTGAAAATGGCCATACTGCCAAAAGTAATTTATAGATTCAGTGCTATCCCCATCAAGCTACCATTGACTTTCTTCACAGAATTAGAGAAAACTACTTTAAATTTCATATGGAACCAAAAAAGAGCCTGTATAGCTAAGATAATTCTAAGCAAAAAGAACAAAGCTGAAGGTATCAAGCTACCTGACTTCAAACTATACTACAAGGCTACAGTAACCAAAATAGCATGGTACTGGTATCAAAACATATAGACCAATAGAAGAGAACAGAGGTCTCAGACATAATGCCACACATCTACAACCATCTGATCTTTGATTAACCTGACAAAAACAAGCAATGCAGAAAGGATTTCCTAGTCAATAAATGGTGCTGGGAAAACTGGCTAGCCATATGCAGAAAACTGAGACTGGATCACTTCCTTAAACCTCACACAAAAATTAATTCAAGATGGATTAAACATTAAGACCTAAAATCATAAAAACCCTAGAAGAAAACCTAGGCAATACCATTCAGGATATAGGCATGGGCAAAGACTTCATAACTAAAACACCAAAAGCAATGGCAACACAAGCCAAAATTGACAAATGAGACCTAATTAAACAAAAAAGCTTCTGCACAGCAAAAAATAGGAACACTTTTACGTTGTTGGTGGTAGTGTAAATTAGTTCAAACACTGTGGAAGACAGTGTGGTGATTTCTCAAAATCTAAAACCATTTGACCCAGCAGTCCCATTACTGGGTATATAGCCAAAGGATTATAAATCATTCTAGTATAAAGACACATGCACACATATGTTTACTGCAGCACTGTTCACAATAGCAAAGACTTGGAACCAACCCAAATGCTCATCAATGATAGATTGTATAAAGAAAATGTGGCATATATACACCATGGAATACTATGCTGCCATAAAACAGGACGAGTTCATGTCCTTTGTAGGGACGTAGATGAAGCTGGAAACCATCATTCTGAGCAAACTAACACAAGAACGGATAATCAAACACCACATATTCTCACTCATAAGTGGGAGTTGAACAGTGAGAACACATGGACACAGGGAGGGGAACATCACACACTGGGGTCTGTTGGGGGGTGAGGGGCTAGGGAGGGATAGCATTAGGAGAAATAGGTAATGTAGATGACAGATTGATGGGTGCAGCAAACCACCATGGCATGTGTATACCTATGTGACAAACCCACATGTTCTGCACATGTATCTCAGAACTTAAAGTATAATTAAAAATTTTAAAAAGTGATATATATATATAAATAATGGAATACTAATTCACCATTGAAAAGATGGATATCTTGTCATTTATGACAACAGAGATGAATTTGGAGGACATTATGCTAAGTGAAAAAAGCCAGGCACAGAAAGACAATTCCACATAATCTCACATGTGGAATCTAAAGCATCAAACTCATAGAAGCAGAGAGTAGAATAGCAGTTACCAGGGGCTGTGGGAGAATGGGGGATTACAGGGAATTAGTCAAAATATACAAAATTTCAGTCAGACAGCAGGAATAAGTTTAGGAGATGCATTGGACAATATGTGATTGGAATTAACAACAATTTGTATACTTGAAATAGCTAAGAGGGTAGATTTTAAATGTCCTCACCACAAAAAAATGATAAGTTTGAGTTAATAGACATGTCCATTGATAGAGTTAGTCATTCTACAATGTACACATATATCAAAATATCATATTGTACGCCATGTATACACACATACATAACACATATATGCAAAATTTTTGTCACTTAAAAAATTAAAAATGATTGTTCAACGTTGTATTTTGTGCTATATAGTTTAAACCTTTAGTTTATGCTAGGAAAGAGCTTCTATTTCCTTATAAAATGAGATCTCTACTATACCTTTATAATGAAAAATTTGGTTTTACCAATGTTCCAATTGAGCTGACTTTTGCACATGAAATATGGGGTTTTTTATCTACTCATGCAGCTGAGTTGTTCATAGCATTTATATTTTTCTGTCCCTTTGACCAGATTATGTCAGGGACATATTTTATCTTTGCAAACAGCATAACCTGGGTTTTATTAACAGCAAGATATGCTTAAAGTCTAGCAAAATAGAGATGACGTTTTCCACCTGGCTAACTCTTACTCGTCCTGTAATAGTCAGGTTAAGTGTCATATACCCAAGGAAGTCTCCTTGAGCTCCCATGCCAGGGTAGGGGCCTGTCTTTGTGTTAGCCAGCACATATCTCTATCATTGACTTATCATGCTGCACTGCAATATGGAGGTCTATCTCCTGTCTCCTATATTAGACCATCGAGGACAGGGCCCACAATAAATCATAGTCATTAAGAAAATGTCTCAGTATTTAAAATGTCCTCAGTACATATTTGCTAAACTCAGCTATAGTATATATCATCTAATATTATGTTTGAAGTCTAAAATCAATCCTGAGGAATAAAATTAGTGACAAGAGGATGGGAGAAGACGTCTACAATGAACCTTAAATAATGCAGCTAATCATTCCGCTCTCTCAGAAGAGGAACTCCACTTGAACCTTACTGCTTAAGTTCTAAGTGCCAGCATAGGGATCAAGTCCTCACTTCCAATTCATCAAAGCCAAGGTGAAATAAAGAAATAAGATTTTTCACACACCATTGACTAGAAAATCAATGACAATTTATGGATAAATAAACTTTTTTTCAAAAGACAAGAGAATACTTTTGAGCTCTTTTCAGAAAGAACGGAAAAGTAGCCTACTTCTTCTGTTTCCACCTACACATATCCTTAGGCACTAGGGTCACTAAGGTACCAGGGCAAAAAATAAAGCAAAATCTCAGAGGGAAAACTAAGATGAAAAATTTAGGGGTACAGCTCTTACCAGGTAATAGAAGACCCATCCCCCAGGATGCCCCTGACCTCCTCCCGGCATCTCTCTTGATGCTCAGGGTTCTGAGCCAGACAGTAAAGGACCCAGGAGATGCTTGCTGCCACAGAGTCATGTCCTGCCAACAAGAACGTGCTGACTTCAGAGTGTACATCAGCATCTGAGAAGCTGCTACCATTTTCATCCTAGGAAATACAATACAGATATTTTTAAATAAAGTATCAGTTTATAAATGTTTGGAGATATGAACACAATAATGATTTTAGGGGAAAAATCAGAGTTTCAAATAGGGGTTTAAATTTTAATTCAGTTCTACAAATATGTGGTATAAGCCATATTCTGCCCAAAGTATAAAGGAGAACCAAGGTTAGACAAGAAAAGCAGGCCTTGCAAAGAGGGCCTTCAATCAGCAGACCCTAGAAATTCTCTTCAAACTCCCAGATTTCCCAGGACCTTATCATCACAATTTTATATATTTATCCATGTGACAATTTTTTCATGATCCCCTGAAATCTATGTAACCATATGACCGTCCCCAAATCTTGTCAAATCCTTCATTTAGTCTTTACTGCCCCTCCTCTAGCGACAGAGATGCAGAATTTTTTGTCTCAAATTGCATGAAGCCACTCATCAATTCAAAGTATGGTTAAATTTAATCAATCGGTTTTATTTTTGTCTCCCCATCCCATTCCCGCTTACCCACCTACTCACATAATTAACTGGCCACTTGAGCAGGCTTAGAAATTTAGATGATTTACCTTGGCAGAAAGGACAATATCCAGAAAATCCTGGTACTTCCTCTTCTGAGTGTTATCCTGCTTTCCCCCAGTCTGGAGGGATTTCTTTCTATCCTGGATTATCGTATCTGGGTAGAAAAATAATTTCTAATTACCAAAGTGATAGCAAAGTCAAATAAATTATAAAGCAACCCATGGTTAATGTATAGATTCAAATCTTGCCTGATTTCCAGATGTTTAAATAGGTCTTATTTTCACAGATGGTTTATTTTCCCCATCAAAGGGACTTTTGATCAAAGCTCCAAAGATAAATAACACAGACCAAAACCACAGTTTCTATCAGTATGTGGGCAATAAAATTAAGATGATTTCAAGTTTAGATGCAAGTGACCCATCATTATTTACTTCCTCAGTCTAATATTTTATTTTCATGAAAAAGTTATTAAATAAAATGAAATGAAATAGAAGACAAGCAAAGAAATGCCAATATATTTATAACTGAAGGAACTGAAAGAAAAAAACAAAACTTTGGAACAGAGGTAATATTTATTTACTATTTTTAAAATTTCAACTTTTATTTTAGATACAAGGGTACATGTACAGGTTTGTTACATGGGTAATAGGAGAACTCTCTGTACTTTCTGTCCAATTTTTCTGCAAACCTAAAACTTTTCTAAAAATAAAGTCTATTAAAGTTGAAAAAACCCCACAAAATCTCCTTAATTAAAACAGTGTGATTTTAGTACATTGGTAGATAGACCAATGGAATGCAAAAGAATATCCAAATATACTCTCATCCAAAATAGATATGAGTACATATGTCCATTTGGAATGTGATAAAGATGATTATTTTAAATCACTTGAAAAGAGAAACTTTCAAATAATGATGATGGGACAACTGGATAACTATCTGGAAAAATTAGATCAATACCTTACGCCATAAATAGGAATAAACTCTAAATCGAGTTTAGATCTCTGTTCTAAATGCAAAAAGGATGAAATCATATGTACCACAAGAAAACATAACTAATTTTCTCTACAACCTGGGTATAGGGCAGTGGTTCTCAACTGGGGGCAACTTTGGCCCTTGGGACATTCAGTAATATCTGGAGTTATTTTTGGTTGCCACAGCTATCAGAGCTCTACTACACTGAGTGGGTAGATGTCAGGGATGTAGCTAAACATCCTACAATGCACAGGTCTTGACAAGGACTTATCTAACCCAAAAGGCCATTAGTGCCAAGGGTTGAGAAAACCTGGAATACAGAATGGCTTTTTGTGATTACTAAAAATCCAGATGCAATAAAATAAAATATTGATAAATTTGACTACATAAAAATAAATAATTTTCAAAAGTTAGTCAGGTGTGGTGGTGGGTGCTATAATCCCAGCTACTCAGAAGACTGAGATAGGAGAAATGCTTGAACCCAGGAGGTGGAGGTTGCAGTGAGCTGAGATTGCACCACTGCACTCCAGCCTGGGCAACAAAAAGAAATGCCATCTCAAAAAAAAAAAAAAAAAAGGAAAAGGTTTTACTTCAAAGTTTTGAATAAGTATACTTAGTGCACACTATATACTATTTAGTATATACTAAGTATATAGTATACTTAGTATACTTAGTATATAGTATACTTAGTATATAGTATATAGTAAATAGTATATACTATATGCTATAGTATATAAAAATTCTGGTAAGACTTACTGCCACGGTTGAAGCAAAGTCTTCTAAAGGACTCAGTCAAATTTCTTTGGAGAAGTGTCTTATAGACACTAAAGGTCCATTAATAACAAATATTCTTTCTCTTGTCATATTAAGGTTTATCCCTCTAGACAGACACAGTACAATCATGACAGTGAATGGATGTGGGCAACCCAAACCTAACAAATACCTGTGTACTGATACAGCACTTGGTTTAACTTCTGGAAGCGTCGGCCCTGAGGGCTGAGTTTGAAAATTATGTCACTGTGATGCAAGAAACTGTACAAGCGGTGAAATACGATTCTGCTGACTTCAAATATGGCTTTTTCATAAGGATCACGGGTGCTAGAAGAGAAAGTTGAGATAACGTGTTAATAAACAACTTAGAAAATGGGAGGAAATATGTTTTTTGCTCTCCCACCACTGACCTGTTTGTCTGGCAGTTGGTCTCTTTGCTGAAAGCGCATTTCATGATTATATCCAGAGACATCAAGTTGATGTGCTTATAAACCTCCATGGTTGTGTCCTGAGTGCTGCAAATCTTCTCCCACTTATCCTGGCATAGGAGGTCAAGATCAACATCATCACCACCACCATGACCAAGCTTCCTTCATTTGAAGGCTCCTGCCTAGCCTTGCCTTTATGATCCAAGGGAGACAACCCTGACCCAGCAGGAACCAAAAGTCACATGAGTGAATAAGCCATGTACTTACACGGGGCATGAGGAAGGGAAAAATACACCCAGCAGAGTGAGAAGGAGCATGGAGAAAACTGCATATATGGTAAATGGCTGAGTTAAGCATTTATGACTTTTCAATTATTACCGTAACTCTGCTTTCATACAGACCAGAGTTCCATTAAAACAGACGATCATTGGTACAAGACCCATAATTACAAGGGGTTTACCCCAGTGCTTCCTCCATCTTCAATTTCAAACTTGCTAGATGCCCTGCCACTGCTCTCAACCACCATAACCACCTTTAAAATAAACTTGGAACATTTTCAAAAACATTTTGGGTTTTCAAAAGTGGTAAACGGAGAGCAAGTATGGAGAGGAGCTGCTACAGGGGGCTGGCTCCCCGTGAAGCCCGACCTGGCTTAACTTCCACACAAAGAGACCTATTCATACTGCTTGAAATGCATTGCCTGACATTTTAAAATGGTGACAAAGTCCCTGGTTGAATATTTGCCATAATAATCATACTTTGTGTAAAAATTAAAATAAATTGAAATTGTAAAAGTTCAGGTTGACCAAGAGATCTTAAGCACCTAGCACCTAGCTTAAGATCTATGAGTCAACCTGAACTTTTAAAATTTCAGGGACTTAGCAACCAACCACAAAGTCAAAGAGAATTTTAAAAACTTTTCACCAAGTGCCAATTGTTTAGTCAAAGAGCCTTTATCTTGGCTATGTAAGTTTTACTGAGAACAAATGGTGAATTTAGAAGAAATGAGAGCAAGCGGGAGGCTTCCATGCTTGAGAAACTCTGGAATGATTCAGCAGAGGAAGAAAGTTGTGAGAAAAATCCCAGAGAAATATGTGGCTGAGAAATGAGTGGAGAAGAAAGTGTCCCAAGAAATGGAGAGAAAACTCCAATGCAATCACAGGAGGATTTGAAATTGTGCTGCAGCTGAACGGCACTAGAATCAGAAAAAGTTGCTCTCCTCTCTCGCTAGCTTGCGCCACACAGTCTCTGGGTCTCTGCCTTGAGAACTCACGCTGTTGTTTTTACCACAATCCTGGCCGACTTTGGGTTCAAACTGCTTCTGTGAGTTTGGCTGAGAACCCAGTCATTGAGCTGGTAATAGTGGTTTGCATGGGAATAGGGATGGGTTTGCACATGAAGTGGGAGGAAAACTTTGCCTTTGTTTGTGGTGTTTGAAGTGTTTATGATGAAACTGTATTAGTGAATTACTTGTCTGATTTCAAAAAAAAAATAGATTTAAAAATTAAAACCACTGTAAATTTAGAGTTTTGGAATAGAACTTATTTATAAATCAGAGACCAATCACAGGAATGTTTCTCTACAATGTCCTTAAGGCTCCTTGAAAGGTGCAGGTCAGGGCCTAATGATCCTCTACCATTTACAAGAAGAAATTCATATCTGCAACTTTAATACAGACATTCTCTTTTGCTTGGTCCTTTATAGCCATTGGGCAAGTCCATGATAATCTCCAAACCTTTTTCATGCTGACTCACTCTGCCTTGAATACTCTCATCCATACTGTCTACATATTCAAGTCCAGCTTGATTTGAGTTTCCGCTGAATCTGAAGCTGTTATAGCTCCTCCTGCCATCTTTACCTGTCACCTTGTGGAGGTTAATGCAGCTCCATCTTGGAGGCTCATCTGCCATCTTGACTTCCAATTAACTCTAGTTCTGGGAATGCTCTGAGATTTCCAGTTGATCTACTGTTCGTTGCATCAGAGCATGTACTTACCATAAATCTTGCCCTTAGGGCAAATTCTTACTATTAATAATTTCCTCTGAAACACGTGTGCCCCTACCATTGTCTACAATTCCTGGATCTGGAGGGTAATAGTTCAGGGATCCATCATCTTGTTTCATCACTGTGTGAAACGGCCATGGTTTTTCTTTGAAAACCTCTATTAAATGTTTCTTTATAAGAAACTGTCAGCCTTTTTCTTCAGCCTCTCAGCTTCCTCAGACTTTGGGGTAGGTTTGTACAGACCTGTGCTCCATGAAACAAACCTATAGCACTTGCTATCTAACTGTCACCATTTGGTACTTGATTTACTGCCATAAAATCTCAAAACATATCTACGACAGAGGACCAGATCTTCTTTTTATTAATATTATCACCCAAATAACATAACAAGTTTTTTTGTTTTTTTTTTGAGATGGAGTTTCACTCTTGTTACCCAGGATGGAGTGCAATGGCACAGTCTCGGCTCACCACAACCTCCGCCTCCTGGGTTCAGGCAATTCTCCTGCCTCAGCCTCCTGAGCAGCTGGGATTACAGGCACGTGCCACCATGCCCAGCTAATTTTTTGTATTTTTTTTTTTAGTAGAGACGGGGTTTCACCATGTTGACCAGGATGGTCTCAATCTCTTGACCTCATGATCCACCCGCCTCAGCCTCCCAAAGTGCTGGGATTACAGGCGTGAGCCACTGTGCCCGGCAACAAGTTTTTACAGACACCTATTGCTCAATGAGTACTTGTACATTGGTTAAATTTTTAGAAACTGATTTTTTATTTTCATGGTCCATGAAACATATACCTAATACTGTCCATTGCCAGGAGCATTTTGCAAGGTACCAGAGCTCTTTCCCCCTTCACTTACCAGCATCATTTTCACAGAATGAGCCATCACCTCGATGTATGCTTTCAGGATGTTAAAATGGAACGCAGGAGTTAGCAGGCGACGATGCTGGAACCACTTGGGTCCATCTAGAGACACTAGTCCTTTTCCTTGAGAAGTAAAAGGCAGAAAACCTTATGCTATTTCATTAGATGAGATGAAGAAGAGATGAGGAACACAGGCAGCATGGTGTAACCATGCCCCACAGGCAGTCATGAAATAGTGGAATATCAAAGTAGTGCTCATGTTAAAATAAAATGCATTTTAATAGATGAAGGTGAATTTAGAAGCTTACTTCTGGGATGGATGTATTTAATATTGTGAGAAAGAGTTTCAAAGTCTAATAAGTTTCAAAGTCTGATAAGATGAGAAGGTTAATCCTGAAATCACCAGTTACTACCCATGTAGTAATTGAATAAGTCACTTAACCTTCCTGAGGTTTAGTTTTCTCAACAATGAACTATGATACTAAATACCTATTTCCCTGTGTTGCTGTGCAGATTAACTGAAAGTGAATACATAAGGTAGCCAACCTACTCCCTAGCTTACACTAGAAACACAGCAAATAAATTCCTTTCCTTTCCACTCCAAACCAATCCATAAACTATATGATGAGCATAAATTCACAAGGAACTTCTGACAAGAACATCCACTCTGTCCCCTGGTACTCCCCCCTTGAGCCCTGGTCTGTGAATGATACTGCGTGGAAATACTTATCAAGGCTAATGCTTCACAATCTTCTATTGCCAGACTGATCATTAGGATTTGGCTTTAAAGGACTTTAAAGTTTATTAGTACATAATCGATATCACTCACTGAGTGCTTACAACATGCCAGACCCCTGATGCATGATCTGTCACTTGCACAATGTTGGCTGTTACATTTACTGCTAAAAATATGTATTTCATTTAATTCTCATAATAGCCCAGCAATGTGACTCTCATCCTTATTGTCAAAGATGAGGAAACAGACATGGAGAGAGTAAATTACTTCCCCAAGATGCTATTTAACTAGTCCGTGCAGGAAGGGGCAGGATTCAAATCTAACTGGTTCCTAATACAAGCCTATATTCTTTTCTCTAATTCATGTTTTGTCTAACATAAATACCAATTATGTGATTAAAGGGCTTAATTTATCTGCTGACAGAATATTGCCAATCTCTAGAGCAAAATTTTACTGATTCGCTTGTGGAAATAAGGGAACTCCAAAAAGAAAGGAAAACATCCAAGAAAACACAAGAGAAGGATAAAGAAAACAAGAATAGGGATGGAGAGACTGTAGTGTGTGTGTGTGTGTGTATGTGTGTGTGTGTGTGTGTGTGTGTGTGTGTGTGTGTGTGTTGGGGGTGGACAGAGTTTTGCTTTGTCACCTAATCTGGAGTGCAGTAGTGCTATTTACGCTTACTGCAACCTCTGCCTCCTGGGTTCAAGTGATTCTCGTGCCTCAGACTCCCAAGCAGTGGGACTACAGGCACATGCCACTATGCCTGGCTAATTTTTGTATTTTTACTACAGACGGGTTTTTACCATGTTGGCCTCACTGGTCTCAAACTCCTGACCTCAAGTGATCCTCCTGCCTCGGCCTCCCAAAGTGCTGGGATAACAGGTATGAGCCACTGTGCCAGGCCGAGATTGTAGTTTTAAAGAGAGAGGGGACAGATTCACATATCTGCTGCCTTGAGAATATGACTCTGGGGGAGAGAAATGGATGAAGAAGCTTCCTGGGAAGTGGTGTTGTGTTGACTTTAGAGCTCCCCTTGAATCTTTCCCCTAGATAACTTTCAGTGTTGCTCTACCTTATACTCTTAATGCTTTTGAATTCAGATTTGAGTTCCTTGGGCATGCTGTATTATGGAAAGGGGACTTTGAATGAGAGTGGGTTATAACTCTCACTTGCACATACATACCAATAAGCGGAGATAAGAATTTCTGTACGTACTGGGACTTGGGGTCTGCAGAGTCAAACAGAGGAAACAAAAGACATCATTAGAGGGAGCATTCATTATCAGCTCATGTTGGTGACAGTTTTTCTGCATTTTCCTGCACCAACCACAAATACTGAGCAAAAGAGAGCCCAGGGCTTACTTCTGCTGCCTTTGGCAGCCTGGGGAAAGACTTGTGTTAGTCTTAGTTCAGTTTCAGAGAACAGCAAGCCCTATGAGGCAAACAAGTACAGAAACCCTGACTCTTCCCTTGTTTATACTTCCTTCAACAGAAACAGAGTTTGCCAGAGGGATGCAATGTTTCCATAACCATAGGTGAGACAACATATATCCTTTATGGAAAGCAAATTAAGGATCAGAGCAGACGCCGGCAGACACCAGGTACTGAGGTGCCAATGCCTCTTGATTTTTGTGAACCCCAAAGTGGAGGTGTTCTACTGTTCTTGTCCTTAACAGGTGAACATGAGACGAATCAGAGCAGGGGACTGGAAACATGGAGATAGTCAGGGCAAGGCTCTTTTATTAGGTTTTATTGGGAGTGGTGGATACAATGGCACAGGAAAGACTAGAATATAAAAACCTTCATTTTACAAAGTTGACAGGGAAAAAACTGGACATTTTAATATTATGGTATAAAATAGTCCACAATGAAAGCCTTAAACAAGCATTGGGTGGGGGAAGTAGATGACTCATGCCTGAAAAAGGGACACAGTTGAGAAACATGTGAGGAAAACTAAAGTTTGGATCACAAGTGAGAGATTTGATGGGTAAATTAATGATCTAGCATTCAGGCTTACATACTGAACCTGCAGAAGTGGAGTTACTGCTGATTCTCCACCCTCTTAAGACTGATGCTCGAGACCAGAGGTAGGAGTGGGAACTGTTGCTAACACTGAAGTCATAAAGCCCAGAGAGGCCAAGGGAACCCTTGTCTGGCAAGCCTGGTAATTCCAGATGGGCTTTAGGTTACGCTAACCTCAACGTGCCCATGCAGTCCTGAACAAGACAAGGAACCGGGCGGGGGGGGGAGGGGGGGCGGAGACACGGGAATCACCTTCAGTATTGGTAGGAAACCTGTCGCCTCTCCACACTTGCTCCTGTGTCTCTTAAAGACCCAAAACTAAACTTCGCTTTGGAATATTGCCTGTGGGGTTTTGTGCATTTCACTTCTAGGAGGAATAGGTCCCAGAGATTTGCCCCTCTTCTTACCTGTTCTGTTCAGAAATGTCTTTGCATAGTCTGGGTCACAGATATAGAAAAATGCCTGAAAAGGCCCAATCCACAAAGGGAAGGCACGAGGGTATTTTTCAATAATTTCCTCAAGCTTCTCCATGTTATCATCCTGAATAAACTGCAGTGAAAAAAGTAAAAGTAATTAGAGAGCCAGCCAGGCTGGACCTGTCCCCTCTTACAGACATAAGCTGAGATCAGGGCCTGAGAAGGTCACAAAAGCAGAGGAGCCTGAGACTTTTCTGGAAGTGAATTAATGTACTTTATTTGGGACTTCTAAGCTTGGGGGATAATTCTCTAAACAAAGTTAGTGTATTTATCTTCTCAATACTAATATAGGCTGTACCCCCAGACCAAATCACTGTTGAATGACATTTACTGTGAACTCCCAACCCAACAGAGAGTAAGCCGAGTCACACTCTCTGCCCCATTTGCCAACATCACATACGCAGATTGGAGTGGGATCTAGAAGCTAAAAAAGATGTATTTCCTAAGTGGGAAACTAACAGTTACTAAACGCGCCATGGCCCTACATCCAGCTCACCATTTCTTCTCCCTGTTCCTCTCTCTAATAATGCATCAGTGATTCTTTCTCATGACTTAGTAGTAAATGCTTCTCTCTAAAAAATTGCCAACTCTATCTACAAAGAAAATCCAAATTCTCCCCCCACCAACAGAAGGCCCATTTACAAGCTTCAAGATGTGTGAAGCTTAAAGCCAACTCAAATACAAAACTTTTAGCTTTCAACATTTACAAATGAGAGTGCAAATACTACCATCAGAGAAGGACTTTTGCTTTTAGAAACAGATTAGTAATGACTCACCTGAATTGTTTCTCTAAATCACAGAAAACAAGATTCATTTACATTTGCTTCTTGTGTAAAGTGGAGGGTACCTGCATGTGTGTGTTTTGGTGTGCACATCTATACACTTGAGCATGGTGGTGGGAGTCCCCAGCTACAAAGTAATCTTAAGGCTGCCAGATTTTTCTCCTGTGAGCAATCACATGGTATCTGCTGCATGACTGTTTGTTCTCATCCTCAGGAGAGGTAGACAACTCTGGCTCCCTTTTTTCTCTGTTATCATTTAGCAATTTTAACCCATGAAGTGTTCTCTGGATAGTTAAGGCCACTGAAAGGTCGAGACTCTTGAAATCTGGTTTCTAAAATATTGCACTCTGTTTTGCTAATGTTGCCATAGCCAAGCCAGTGGCAAGTGCCCACTGACTATCCAGAGTAGTGGTTTTCAACAATGTGAATATTTTTTCGTTTATTCATTCACAAACCACAAACAAACAAGTATTTATTGAGTGTCTATCACACGTACCAGGTGGTAGAGATACAGAGAAAGATAGGAAAGATAAGGCCTCTGCCCTCCTGGAAATTATAAACTAATATGACAATTGTTTAGGTAAAAAATTTTCATAGACACTCCAGCCACATAAAGAATTTCATTATACTTTTTGTAACTCCTGACTAGACAAAAAGGACAGAAAACTGTTGTGAATCCTGTACTACATTTAAGCTATACTTCTTCATCCCCAGAGAAGCATCTAAATATACTTGAAAATGAGTACTACATATATTTAGTAAACATTGTTCAGAAATGTTCAGAAAATGCATAGTGCCCCCCAAATAGTAACAGCTAACATTTATCAAGCACTGCTATGAACTAAGTGCTGCAAAATGCTTTCATGTTTTATGTGATTTAATATTTACTTCAAGAGCCCTATGAAGGAGATATAATTACAATCCCTATTTTACTGATGAGGAAATTGAATGCTACAGACTAGGTTAAATGATGTGTCAAAGGGTGCACAGCTGGCGACCCGTAGTGAGGATTCAAACTCCAGTTTAACTCTGGAGCCCAAGTGCTTTATACTACTTAGCTACATAGATGTTCTTTGCATTACATGCAAGTACACACACACACACACACACACACACACACACACACGTGCGCGCGCGCGCATATATACATCCTAGGTTCCACATGCTGGCTGTGATTCAGTGACCTACTGAATAAATATCAAACACCTGGCCTGTTCTATGTAGTAAATTGATCTTTGAATAAATAATTTTCTTAGCACCTAATATTTATGCATTCAACAAAGGATTTATTGAGCACCGATTATGCATCATGAACTGTACCATTCACTGGGTTTATAGTGGCAAACAATGACCCTCCCTCTCACAGATTTTATACTTTAGTTGGCGGTGGATAATCAATGAACAAGCAAAGGTGTACACTATATAGAGTCCGAGAGTGATAAGGGCCAAGATAATAAAATTAGGGTTGGAGATAGAGAGTACTAGAGGTCCGGTTTTAGTCTGAGTGGTCAGGGTAAGCCTCTTTTAGAAAGTAACATTTGTTCAAAGGCCTGAACAATGTGCAGGGAAAGCAATATAACCACAGACGTGCATGTTCAAAGCTCTGAGGGAGGAATATCCTTGGCATGTTTGAAGCATAGTGAGATCTGCATTACTAAGAGTGAGGAATGTGATTTCTTATCTTATAGGGAGTTTTCCCTGCACACACTCTATCCTTCCGTAACGTTATGACTATACTTAAAATGCTATGGACTTTGGATAGAAGGACTAAGTTCCAGTGTTCGATAGCACTGTTAACAATAATTTATTGCATATTTCTGAAGAGCTTGAAGAGAAGATTTGAAATGTTCCAAACACAAAGAAATAATAAATGTTAGAAGTGATGAATACCCTAAAGACCCTGATTTGATCACTGCACATAGTATGCACATATCAAAATACCACCAGGTACTCCATAAATATGTACAGTTATTATGTAGCAATAAAATGTTAATGCCTATGTAAAATAGTTTCACCTTTTGAGCCTTAGAGACTAGGTTTCCTTGTGACTTCCCACATGGCAAATCACCAGAAGGACCCTGATTTGAGTAAATGGACAGGTTTGGTAATATTAGACAGTTTGATATATCAGTCATCTCTAATCTGCAACATTCTGATAGAAACCTTTCGAAAGCAGAAAAAGTAACAGTGACAGTCAAGAGGGAATATGGACTCTAAAACACTATGAATGCAATAAATAATCTGAAATGAAATTAAGACACAATACCTTCAAAAAGAATAAAACAGGAATAAATTTAACAAAAGAAATGCAAAATGTATACTTTGAAAAATGCGAAACATTACTTAAAATAATTAAAGATGACCTAAATAAATGGAAAGGCTTTCTGTGTTCATGGACCAGAAGACCTAAATTGTTAAGATGGCAATAATCCCCAAACGGATCTACAGATTCAGTGCAGTCCCTAGCAGAACCTGGCTGGTTTCCTTGCAGAAACTGATAGGCTGATTCTAAAATTTGCATGGAAACTCAAGGATCCCAAATAGCCAAAATAATCTTGGAAAAGAACAAAGTAGGGGGATTCATACTTCCTGATTCCAAAGCTTACTACAAAGCAAAAGTAAGGCAGTGTGGTACTAGCATAAGGATAGGCATATAATTTATTTCTTTATAATTTTTAATTTTTGTGAATATATAGTAGGTGCATATATTTATGGAGTAAATGAGATGTTTTTGATACAGGCATGCAGTGTAAAATAGGCACATCATGAAGCATGGGGTACCCAACTCCTCAAACATTTATCCATTGAGTTGCAAACAATCCTATTACACTCTAAGTTATTTAAAAATATGCAGTTAGTATTGACTATAACCACCCTGCTGCACTATCAAGTAGTAGGTGTTATTCATTCTTTCTATTTTTTGTACGGATTAACCTGCCTACTCCCTCAGCTCCCCGGTACCCTCCCAGCCTCTGGTAACCATCCTTCTACTCTCTACGTCCATGAGTTAGGATAGACATAGAGATCAATGGATTAGAACTGAAGATTAAGAAATAGACCTTGACATTTATGGTCAATTGATTTTTGACAAGGATGCCAAAACAATTCAATGGAAACAACAGATGACATAGCATCCATGAGATAACAGAGATACATAACACAGGACAGCATCATTGGGAAGTCCTAGAATAACATGTGCAAACCATTCTTAAAGAGCAACCAGTCCTGACTAGAACAGGAGGAGAGGTCTGTGGGAAAAATATCTCCAGAAAAACAGACAGATTATTTGGCATGTTCGCATATGTGGAAATACTATTTAGATGTGTTTGACAGATCCATTAGAGCATTTGGAAAAAAATAGTGACAGATATTGAAAAATGAAGCAAATTAGAAAAGGAAGAAGTTAACAATACTGTGGGGTGGGGGGAAAGTTCTATGAGAAAAGAAATAAAATGAAAGAGGACCATTTAGATCAGCAGTAAATAACATTTGCATAATACAAATACTAGTTTTTCTATTTAACTATAAAACACAATACAATGTAGTTATTGGGACAGTGGAAGATGAGGTGTACGTGATTGCCTGTCATAAAGAACTTCATAGATGGATGTTGTTTTAGTACATTTGTGTTGCTATAAAGGAATACCTGAGGCTGGATAATTCATAAAGAGGATTATTTGGGTTACAATTCTCCAGGTTGTACAGGAAGCACGGCACTGGCATCTGCATGTCAGGAGGACCTCAGACTGCTTCCACTCATGGTGGAAGTGAACAGGACTGGTTGTGTGCAGAGATCACATGGTAAGAAGAGAGGAAGAGAGAGAGGGGAGGAGGTGGCAGGATCTTCTCAACAATCAGTTCTGGGGGGTGAAGAGAGACTAACAGAGTGAGAAATTAAGAAGGAGACAGTTGCACCGAGATGTTCATGAGGGATCCATCCCAGTGACCCAAAGGTCTCCCATCAGACCCCACCTCCAACATTGGGAATCAAATTTCAACATGAGGTTTGGTGGGGACAAACCAACCATATCTAAACCACAGCAGATGTCTAAGCTTATTAAATCACTAGATGCAATATAGTAATATTATTTTACAAGTAAGGATTTAAATACCAGAAAAAACAGATAAAAGAGTTAAAAGTGGTTGCTTTAGGTAAGAAAGACTAGAAAGTGGGGAAACCAAAGGATCATTTAGTAGCTCTGCTGGAATGTCTTCCCCACACCACCCAACCATCCTTTAAGACAATGCTCGGCCCTTCACAGACTTTCCTTCCTCCTCTAGTCGGAGACTTACGCCTTCCTCTGATATTCCCTTGTCTCTAGGCCTCTAGTAAAGCACCCATTGCCTTGCACTGTCATTTTCTTTGTGGCCTGTCTGCACCTGACTTGGGAGGTGCAGGGAAGGGACTTCTCTTCTCTTTGTAATCTTAGTACCTATCACCAACTGCCACTCAAAGTCAGCTGAATAAATAAAAACCTCAATTAGGGGTGGGAGTGAATTTAAAAAGCGGGAGTGACCAAAGCTGTCTCCCTTTACTTCAGAACTTTCCATCAATCAGTATTTCTTGAGTGGCTAGCAGGGGCTGCTCCTTACCTCACAAGAATCTTAGGAAAAGAAAACTTTCTTTGGTTAAAATGGACTAGGCGTGCCAATGATTGTGACCGATTTTGCATATTTCCTAAAATTAATAAGTTATTTAGAATAACATGCTATTTTTAAAGCAGCACATGTGGAAGGCTTGGTGAAACAATGAGAGACGGACCTGAGTTACACCGCACTTTTTTTCCATATTCAGGTTCTTGAAATAGCTCTCTCCCAGCCCCCAAAGCTTCCTCTTTCGTGACCTTTCCCTGTGGGGCTGCGGGAAAGCAAGTGTCCACAGCAAGGAAAAATGATGCTGAGAGCCACAGGCTAGGCTGGAGAGGCCAGTGCAAGCCTGAGGGTCCCCAGGGATGGAAGGAAGCAGCCACCCCTCTGCCAGGCGGGATCCTCTGCGGCATCCTCCTCCGCCCCTCCGTCCCCCCTCCTCCCACCTCCTCCCTCCCATCTACCTTCTGGTGCCCAAAGAACCAGTGGGTGGGGGGCGTTGGGAAGGGGCGCAGGTCCCGCAGCAGCCGCTGCCTCCGCAGGTAGAGCTTAATGGCCTGGAACAGCCCCAGGGCCAGGCAGAACACGAAGGCCAGGTAAAAGGGCCGCGCCCAGCGTGTCTCCAGCCAGGAGAATTCCATGGCTCTGCGCAGCCCCGAACGCCCGCGGTCTCCAGGGGCGCGGGAGAGGGTGCGCTTTCTCTCGCCTGCAGCTGGCCCAGGGTCGCGCAGCCCACCCGGTCTCTGAGCCCTCGCGAAGCTCCTGCCTCGCGGGAAGGAGGAGGGGCAGTGGGAGGGGCAGCTCAGGCCCGGAGAGAGGAGGCAGGCGCGCCTGCGGGATTTCTAGCGGGTTACCAAGGCGCGCACGCTTGGTTCGGGGAGCGTCATCTTTTAAGGCGGACAGTTTTCAGTCGCGGGATCTGAATTTATATTGTAAAATAATGCCAAAGCTGAGGTCATTGTTTTTGTTCCTTAACACAAATTAATAAACCGCTATGCAAAAGGATTTCTTTTCCATTCTGGAATTCTACCAAAATTCCCGGGGGCAGAGGTAGGGGGAGGCGTACGATCATTATTTCTTTATCCTGTGGCCCGTCTAGTGGTGTGCAGGTAAATGCTTTACAACTGGTTCCCACCCTGATTCCCAGCGTGTACCAACACCCACCATGAGCTAGTTCAAGCTGCCCATGCCAGGGCACTGAACACTGAATGGGGAAGGTATGCACAGTTTTACTATATATTATATATATTATATTACCAGTAGATACTAATTCCACTATCCAGCTATAGTCATGGCCTGCTACATAATTTATGAATCTCAGTGCAAAATGAAAATGTGGGATAAAAACTTTATTAACAATTCTAAGATGACAGAGCATTAAACCGAGCATATGTCCTTCTGGGTTCAGAGCCTGGTGTGGCTGCTCAGGTCCTGTGCCCCTGAAGGGCTGACCCTAGATGCCAGAGACATAAATAAACTTGAGCACAGATAACAGAAAAATGGAGTAAAAATAATTTGAAAGTGATGGTTTTAGTATTTATAATCTATCAGGTGGTGAACTAGGATCTAACAGGCCTGACTTCCCAAGCTGCTCTCTCCCCACCTCCCTGCCCCAGCAATCTTTATAGGTATTGCTTACATTTTATTCATTTATTCATTGATTTAGGCTAAAACAGGCATATGTGAGGTGTTGATTGACAGCCCTGAACAGTAAACCCAATCTCTGCTACAATTTTCTGTTCTCCCTACCACTGTCCCTCTCCCACCTACTGACCCCCCCCACCCCCAGCCCCGGCCCCATTCCTTAAGCCTACACTCCACTCTCTGGAGCCACATTTTATTTGGCAGGTAAGTGATTAAGACAGCCTCCGGGGTGGTGACTTCTTCAGGACCAAGCTTGTCCTGGACCCTTGCATGTTCCATTAAGCCACACACAGCTCCTTCTTACACAGACTTCCTACCTAACTCCAACCTTCAACTAGATGTAGTTATTTGACCGGGTCTCAGAATCTTCTGGCGTACACAGTTTCTTCTGGATAATGCATGGCATTTCAGCTTTTCATACTATTCCTCTATGCCCTGTTCCTTCCCCAAATCCTGCAGGTTGTATGGTGGTGGCCCTCATATGTTCACATAGTGATAGGGCTGAAGACCTCAGATCCAGGCTCTGCCTCGGGGTCCCAGCTGGTTGTGATATCTTGCCTGGTCTGGTCCCTGGGTTCTTCGTGCAACTAAGGAATAGTAGGTGTGGTTGGTGACCTTCTAGTGAGTTCTCTTGGCAGGGTCAGAGCCTGGGAACCCCTTGGCTCACCTAGGCCCACCCAGGTTCTTGCTGGTGGTGTGACTCCCTCTGAGGCTTAGACAGTTCCATGCAGTTACCCCTCTGCTCCATGTCCATTGCCACTGTCCAGCATACTTTTTGCATTATATCTAGGAGCTTAGAGAGGCTAGAAGGGATTGAAAGAGGCTTGAAGTTCAGGCCTTCTCTGCTTCACTGCCATTTTCACTCTGGTTTCTCCATGAAAGGACACAAGGTAAAATCCCTGGTGCTCTCAACTTTCCCTTCACTCTAGCTAAACCCCAATCCCAGGATTTTAGCCTAGAGGGGAAAAATTAGATACTCTCTTGACCACCCAGCCTCTGCCACTTTTTGCCTCAGTCCACCAGGCTGTGAGATGTGGGTGTTCCCCACAACCTCCATTCCATGTGGTAGAAAATATCCTTGTTATTGCTTGTGTTTTTGCTGCCCCTGGTGGAGAATGAAGTTCTGTAATCTACTCCAACAGGGCATGCTAATGGGAGAAGAAGGAATTTGGAAAATTATTCTGGCCAAAGACTGGTTTTAAAACTTGCTATAACTCAAAAAATATGATTCTGGAGACCAAAAACAGAGCAGTGCCTCCTTCCTTTTTTGGCATTTCTGCACAAATGTCCACTGAATTGAATTTTCTTGGCTACGGTATAGGGAATCAGAGACACCAAAAAATATTCCATCAACATGGATAGTGGTGCCTCTAGATGAAAATAAGCCATGTGAGACTCCCAGAAGGAGGCCTGTGCCTCCTCCAGTGCTCATCTGATGGCTCCTTCCATGTCAGACACAAGAGACAAGAAATGAAGGCCATTGAGAAACTGCTTCAATCCTACACACACCCCAAAGAAAACCGTATATTTGTCTACAAACAGGGCAGTGCAAGGTAACTAACCTTTGACTGAAATTATAATAATTCAGTATGGCAACATGTATCTTTGATCCATTAAAATGTAGAAGTATATTATTACTTAATAATAAATGCATTTGAAGAACATGGAAACCTGGGGACAAAAATCTAAAAGTTTGTGGAGCTATATCCCAGGATAGCATTACAGCCGACCAGTGTGGGATTCCAGAGATTTACAGCTCTCTGATTTGCTCATATGCCCAGTTAGTAAACATGGGTGAACATTGACTATGTCCCAGACCCGGTGCTGGGCACATGCTGGGAGCTCGATGCACTGGGGAGACAAGGGTCACCTAAGTACTCTTAAGGTAGTTCTCACAGAAAGTGATGCTGACACCCATGCCAGACAAAAGAGAGTAACGCAATCTGTCCAGGCTAGGGGGGATGCAGGTGAGGAGAAAACGTGGGAAAAGTTTTATAGCTGAGGAGATGCTTTTATTCATTCATTCATTTACTGAGTGAATATTTATTGTGAACTGACCATGTGCCATGAATCGCCCTGAGCACTGGAGTTGTGGCCTTGAACAAAATCAACATGGCCCTGCCTTCATGTGGCTTAGGGTCTAGTGGAACGGTATCTTAAAACGTCAGAAAGTATCTCTAGGTGGACAAGGTGGGAAAGGGCATTCTATATGGTGGAAAAGTGCATGAACAGAGCATAAAGTGGCCTGAGCTAACTGGATTGTGGGAGTTCTTTAGCGTGGCTGGAGCTTCAAGTGTCAGTGAGAAGGATGGGTGCTAAGAACACATATAGGGTGAAAGTCAGACCAAGAGAGCTTGGTAGGCCCAGTTAAGAAATTCAGACTTTACTTAAGGCCATGGGAATCCACTGAAAGGATTTAAGGTAGAAAATGAAATAGTTAAATAGTAGATTATTCTGAAAGCTACCTGAAATATAATGACAGCTAACTATTTATTGTATTCTCAGTAAGTGCCAAGTACTATTCTAAAGTAATTTACATGTACTTAGTTATTTCCTCCTCAGAATAACCAAGGTAGATGCTACCATTATCTCATTTTACCTATATAAAAACTGAGACACAGATTATGCAGCTTGCCCAAGGACATCAAGAGAGTAAAAAATGGTGTCCGGATTTGAATCTATGCAGTCTGCCTCTAGGTTCTGAGACCTTAACATTTATGAGAATAAATTGGGATGGGGAAGGTAGTGATAAGACTGGAACTAGGGAGACCAGGTCTGATGCTATTGCAATATTCAGATTAGATAGGATGGTGGCCTGGGCTGGGATTAATAGTGGTGCGGCAGGCCAGGTCTCACTAACACAGGCCTCCATAACAACTGTTTCAGTACTGACTGAATGCTTACGTTAAATATTAGAAACTGATAGAGCCAGTGCCTTTATACAAAGACTGGAATGTAACAAAAGCCCACCAAGAGTTTTGCCTAGGACTTACGGGCAAAGCATGACAAGATAATGAAGGAATTCTTATCAGGACTCATTTAGGATTAAACAAGTTTTATTGGGAGTCTGAAGAAACTCTCCAGGCTGCCACAAATAAGTTTATTGGGGGGTCTGAAGAAACTTCCCAAACCTCCATGATTTAACAGGAGACAAGATAAGGGTAGTCACTCCAGAACCTGGACCCATTTAGATTAAGTAAATTTGCAGAAGCTCCAGAGGAAGGTCTTCAAACTCAGATCCTAGTTATAGATTAAAATAAGTTAATCACATATGTCTTTAGATAAATGCACACTTACACAGACATATAGCTAAGAAGGTATGTAAGCTCTGAAAAAAACTTTGTAATTTTGAATTTGATATTTCCTAGGCCTTCTCCCTATAACCAGTTACAAAAATAAAAACTCTCTCCTTCCCCAGTTCATCTGCATCTCATTATTGGGCTGCAAGAATAATCAGTCTGACACTTGGTTTGGTCTGGGAACAAATTTAGTAAGCCAGCCAGGGGCCATCAGGACGGTGGTGTTTTCAACACTCAGCAGCTTGTGATGACACAGTCTTCAGGAGGTTCCCAGCACCTGCTGGGTGAGATTTTCCCAGGAATTTCTCCTGAGGGTTGTCCTATGTGCAAAATTGCATGTCCCTCCCACTATATGGGAAGCATGGAGGTCAGGAGTGGACAGACTCTAGGAGCGAGTTAACTGGGTTATATGCCAGCAGCCTATTGCTTTTCCGTATGCGCTTGTTAAGCCATTTGTCTGGTACTGCCAGGGGAGCAATAAGGCTTGCTCAAACACACACTCTGCCTTTTGGATAAAATCAGGTTTTAAGTTGGTTTTGAGTTTGTTCTGCCTGAATGCTCTCCTCCTTGTGTTTGTCCAAAATGTCTCCACTTTGTGTATCTGCCTTGTTGCTTTGATACCATGTAAACTTGAATATGGGAGGTGTCAGGTCCCTCCCTGCTGGGAGCCCTCTGTGAAGAAAAGAGAAATTTTTAAAGTAGCTCAATGGTTAAAAGTCAGCTTAATTAAAAACTAGCATCTAAGATGTGTGTGTATGTGTGTGTGCACGTGCGTGTTTGTATTAAAAGGCCTTCATGTTTTTGTTTTTTTCTCTCCTGGGACCTTGTCTTTTTTGAGCCAGAATTTTTTCCTCTCAGTTGCCTGAATTATGTTTTCTTCATTAATAGCTGTTGCAACAGAGGTTACTCTTGGATTTGTTTTTTTAAAA